GGGGGAGGGGGGGTTATCCTTTGGGACAGACCAGGGACGCACCCTGCTGGCACACGGCGGCGATGGCGAGCAGGAGGGCGTCGCTGCTCGAGTGCAGCGCGTGGTCGCCCTGGCCCTGGTGCATGTTGATGCGCTCGGCGTGCATCACGACGACGAGCAGCAGGGTGCACAGCCCCACCATGCCCAGCGACGTCTCCCACAGCGACAGCGGGAAGGGCAGCGTAAACACGTTGTTCTCGTACGACAGGGGCGGCGCCCGGAACACCAGCACCCCACTGGGGACAGTCAGTGAAAATAAGGGTGACGGGTCACACCGTGGGTCTCAGACTGGGACCAAGCAGCAAAGTGAAGTGTGTAGCCGACGCCGTACCCGGCCGGGCTGTAGAAGTTCGTGAAGTGCAGGTATTTGAGCCTCACGGGCTCGATGATATGGCTGAAGCCCGTCCCAGCCAGTTCTATCTGGTGATGTGCCTGCGTAGAATCGAGAGAACGATTAATAGTTGTTCTTGAATTAACCTTCACAATGCCACTGTGGACGACGACCTACGTGCAACCCGAGGAGGCCCTTGTCTGGCACCACACCCGTTGGCACTCGCCCCCAGTCGTTCGTGATCGTCACGTTGATCCTAGAAAGGGGCCTCATTGTATACATATTGAACTCAGATGCCGGTAGGCACTGTTCTTCTGATTAATCTGTACCGGATGCTGCGGTGCGAATGGCCCGCTGAACACTAATCAGTAGAACGGCCACCCTGTTGTGCATCATTGATTGATGATCGCGCAGGGTTACATATACTTACGTCATGTTGAGCATTGCCACCATCTCGTGCATCAGGTCCCAACCGAAGATAGATAAGTAGTCAGTCGTTAGGCCTGTGCCTTCGTTGATGGCCCTTTTAAAGTTTTTAGAGTCCGCTACCTAGAGGACAAATGGGAATTGGGCGTAAACCACGGTATCATTATTGATAAATATGGATCAATCTTAGCCCATTAACTCTCTCAGCCAATACGGTGCTCCCGAAGTCAACCCTACAATGGTTGACATATGCATATGATCATGATCATTTTCC